ATAATTCCACATGTGTTAATTCATAGTTTTGATGCCTTCAGTGTGAAGCTACAATATTCATAGTCATGAAAATAAAGACAACTCTTTGAATGAGAAGGTGTGTCCAAACCTTTGGTCTGTACTGTAGATGTCTGTTCGTTGTGGAATAACTTGATCGGTCTGCAGAGATCTTTGGCAGAACAAATTTGGTGTGAATTAAAATGAAAACTTCAAACCAGGCCTTGTAAAAACAGCAGTCTGGCCCCACAAATGTGCTTCTTAGAGAATGGTAAAACATTTAGGTATTGCTGTCTGGGTTCTCATCTGTGACTGCCTACCAGAATTACTTCAATAAGAAGTACAAACCTTTATCCCGGAATTAAATAAATGCTACATGCTCATAACCCCAAAGTCAAAACTCAATTCTTATTAGCAGTTGATCCAGAAGTCGTTCTAAATTCACTGTGGATGGAGCTCAGCACATGAGAAGAATCAGGTCTGAAAGCATCTCTTCGATGTATAACTTCCTGTTTTTCTTTCCCAGGGCAAGAGCTTCTCCAAGACAAGTGTCTGAATGAGCAACTTGATGGTATCCATGGTGCTGAGAAAAACCTCTTGTCCTGGCTTCTGGGCCTTCTGGGCACCAACCACTTCATCTATTACTGCCCAATGACAATAGTTGTTAACACTCTTCTCATCCTTAATCAGCCAATCAGAGAAGCCATAAAGTTGCCCACTCTCTTCTTTTATTTTGTTGCAGCCAAAGTCAGCGTTGTTCTCCATGTTTGGGATGGGATTTGTTAAGAAGGAAGAATTTACTTGGATGTGCAAATTTTCTTGGGAGTGTCTGTATATATTCAGCCACTACATAGTCTTCTTCTTGGCAAAACATGAACTGCTGAGCACAGAGATGTTTCTCTCAGCGAAGAGTATGAGTTTGGATGCCAGTGTGTGACACTGAATCTGAGTTGCACTGTTATCCTTGTTGAATACTATTATGGTATTTCCTTATCCCCATGTGGTCCCCCTGCAAAAATGAATAAAAGAAGTAGGAGTTTATCTGTAAATAATTTTTTTCTGTGGAAAAAAACATTTACATTTGCTAATTTTTTTCCCCACTAGTGTTTAAATGGGCAACAGCACAGGATGCTTGTGTAGCGTAATAGGGGGAAAAAGAATCATGGCAATAACACTTTTTATATGGAATAAAGACTGACACAGGTTGAACAACGCTGTCTTAATATATCAAATACCAATTAAAATATAGAGATGTGTAGAATGGAACAGATTAGACTTGCTGTCAGGAGTCAAAAGGAGCTAAGTTAAGTGAAAGATCAGTTTAAAGATTTGATTCCATCTTCATTTATGTTGTTATGTTCAGAAGCACCATGAAGTGCCCCCCTCTCTGCTGTTTTTGGCCCTGTCTGGCACCTATGTTTTAATGCACTAGAGACACTCTGGGGCATTGGGGTTGGGTTGGGGGAGATTCTCCAGTCTACCAGTGGGGTCTTTTGCACAACAGCCACAACTCCAATTTTAATGCATTTTAGACATTCTCATCTGCATTCATCACAACACCTCACATTACCAAAGACACAACGCCATGGAGGGGGGAGCTGTGCTTGGAGAGCATGACGTAGTCCCCTGGATCCCACCGCAGAGCCTATGCTGGTTCAGCAGGGAGTGGGGGTGTGGGGATGGCCTGGGGGTCTCTAACGGCGCCATAAGGGGGCCCAGCAGGGGGCTGCCCGCCTTGGTAGGTTGTTATCTGTGTGGGTCCTTGGGCCACCTCCTGGAGTGGTGCCCCGTAAGGTGTGTTGGGCTGGTTGGGGGGGTGGGGGTGCGCTGGGCTCTGGTGGGCATCCTTCCTTCTATGCCTCTCAATGACTGTCCCCCTTGGGTAAAATACAATGGTCCCCTTGGTCCCTCTGGTTTCTGCTGTGGTGAGCTGGTGCCTGCCTGGCATGTTGGTGTGGGCCCTGGGCCACTGGGGGGACCGGTTCCTGGGCTTGGTTTGTGCAGCTGGGGGTGGCGTTGTGGCTGGGCTTGGGGGCTTGGTGCAATGCATCCTCTCTGTGTCTCTTTGGCATAGGGGCTGCTGCTCCAGTGCCTTGCTGGCCACCTAGCTTTGTGCAGGGTGTATGGCTGCCCTGGGGTGATGGTTTATGTCTTTCTGGGACTGCTGCAGCCTGTTTGTTCTCGCCACTCTTACAAATGTACACTTCCAGGTGACAAACCCGCACTCGTATACACCATTTAACATAAAAACACTGGTTTCTACACATTTGCTCACCCACCTACACACACACACACACACGCACGCACACACACACACACACACACACACACACACCCATGCACCAACATACAACTACTCTCAAGGGTTGAAGGTCATATAAACACAGGTCACTATGGGTCCAGCGCTGGCTCAGCAGTAGAGCACGCAGCCCATGTACAGGGAGGCTTCGGCCCTCAACGCGACTGTACCCTGGTTCGAGTCCAGGCAGTGACAACCTGTGCTGCATGTCTTTCTCCTCCCTCACCCACTTTCCTGTCTAAAAAAATAAAATAAAAAAACTAAATAAAGGCCAATAGTGCTGCAAAACAAACAATTTTAAAATCAGGTTACTATACCATCCAGTAACACTTTTCATCTGTTAATAAAAACAGTGCCATGCTCATTCTTAATTTGCCTTTGGAACACAAAATAAGAGTGACTTGTTGAAATCAAGGCTATTCACCGTTTGGAAACAAACTTTAGCTGCACTTGTTGGCGTCATGGCTACTAGGCTTTAGAAGGCAAAGCAAGTAGCACTTGTTCATGTCATGGCCTCATGTGTTGGACAAGGAAGGAAAGAAAGTGGATGTGGAGAAGCTCATTTGCCCCCATCACCTCATACTGTTGATTACTGGATTGATTAAAAATACTCATGATTACCTTTTTGGCATAGAAAGGCTGACAGTGAAAGTGGTGGCCCAGAAATCTCTTGTAGGGATCATAACCACCTGAAAGAATCAGTTTAGCACCAACAGGGTGGTAGGGAGTTCAAACAGGTCTGGCATGATATTCTAGCGTGTTGCTTCATCCTGATGGACCATTGGGACAGCTTGTGAACAGGGTCTAAGCAACATATTAATGAGAGAAACTGAGTCCCTGGAAAACTCTAGGGTTACATAGGCAAAACGCACACCTTTGTTAACATGCTTGCATATCCAACTGACATGAATTGACTTGAACAGCTTTCAGATTTTATGTTGACCCTATGACAAATTTCAAAAGTTCTTCCCTATGCTTCATGCAAATGTTTCCAGTACAAACCAGCTACAAAAGGTTTCTCCCTCATGCATTTAGCTATTTATTTATCAAGGCAGTCCAGGGCTTCATCCATCAAGCCTACAGTTGTAAACCTATTTCTTTGAACAGTTGAGTGCCAAATACCGTTAGCCATGTGCGGTGCATGTGCATGTGTGCAGAAGCTCACTCCAAAAAGCAAAATTTGTTTTTCAGAATTCCCCAGTGACTGTGGGAAAGGTTTAAAAAAAAAAAGAAAAAGTCAGATTCTAAAAAGTTATCTAATATCTGTGGATGACTTCTAAAAAGACACCATTCTGTACCATATGTGGATGGAACAGGATCCTTTATTTTTTGTGAAGCCATTTCAGATGTCATGCTCACTGGCAAAGTACTGTTGTATGACATTAACAGCAAAGCAGAGAAATTGACTGAACTCTTTGCTCTGGTTTTGACATTTTTATGGATAATAATTTCACTTGATTATTTATCTGTTCAGTAATATTTTATGATTGCACACAGTGGTATTCATAGGCAGTAAGTGACTGAGTTCAGTCCAAAATTTACTCAGACTTCTAGCTCTCACTTTTAAATTAAATGCAGCTGTGCGCTTTGGTGTTCTGTTGGGTAGTTGACCGTGACCTGTCCACCTAAATTTTTGTTTTTCCACACATGGTTAGCAGGCTACTTGTTTAGGGTCCATTTAAAGCGGCATGTTTTGTGTCATGTGTCAGGCTTTGAAGGAATGTGAAGTATAACAAACGGCAGCTATTCCTGTCTGAGGTCAACCTGCTGCCGTTTAGCATACCTCCAGGAGATTCTATACCTGGTGCAGAGGAATGTTTAAAGGAATGCTGCCTGACCCTGACAATGTTTTGTCAGGAAGCATAAAAACTGTATGGTCATGCTGATTCAGATAGATTGAAGCTATTCTCTGAACAACAAAAGCCTTCCAACTGCATTCAAAAAACAGCAGAGTTGAACCAAAGTTCAACTCACATTGTGTGAAAAGCCAGAACAAAGGGAGTTTTAAAAGTGATTTCAAAATGGGCATAAAAGTGATCTGTCTCATAACTAATAACAACTTCTTCCACAGTTTGGGTGCCATGACAGCTAATGCCCAGTGCCTTCTCAGAAAAAAACTTATTCATTAGAGCTCATGTGTCAATCAGGTGAGGTTTTAAGCACACATGATGCAGCCAATCCACACTTTGCTAGCTGCATCAACTACATTTGAAATTAAGCACCTTACATGATGATGATGAGATCATTTCATTGTAGCTTAAAGCAAAGGTCCTGAGGTTTCCTTTTTCACAGTGAGGTAATAAAATCTGAAGTGTTATATGGCTGACTACTACTAACCCAAAAGAACAAGAAAAGTAAGTTCCAAATTGCTCATATTTTATGTATATATTGTCAAGCTTTATCTGAAGGACAGTGCAGAGTGATCAAGGAGGTTCTGGGATTCTGCTTTGTGGAACAATAAAACAAAAGTAAGACCTTCTGGGCCTATGGATCCACAGTGTGTCTGGAGAAGGAAGAATAAAGGATATGCTGAAAAGAACACCCTGCAAACAGTGAAGCATGGTTGTGGCTCAGTGATGCTGTGTGGCTGCTTTTGTTCCTCTGGCACTGGAAAGATGCAGCGTGCGGGGGGCAAGATGAAGTCGATCTTGCATCAGGAAATTCTGGGAGAAAATGTCTTTCTGTCTGTAGGGAAGCTGTAGCTTCCTTCATCGGGTCATCATTGGACCTTCAAACAGGAAAATGATCTTAAAGTCCACCTAGGTTCAAAGTCCAACTGGATGAAGTCCTAAACGTAGCTGGAGAGACTCTATTTAACATCAAATAAAATTGCAACTCAAGAATATTAATGAACTGTTAGTTTTTGTGATTTAGTAGTGGGCTAAAATTCCTCAGCTGGTGTCTGGGAAGGAATCACGTTTGTAGCAGGTCATGGCACCAAAACTCTGCTCTACTAATTACTAAAGATGCTGGTCCTGAAGAGGTTGAATCATTTTGAATCACTACTACTACATTATTGATAAAGCACTTTAAAACAACCACAGCTGCAACAAAGTGCTGCACAACTAAAATAAAGGAACATTTAAAACATGAAACAAGGAAAATGAACAAGATGAACAACACTAAAATCAATAAAACCATCAAAACAGAAGTAAAAAGTAAAAGTCTCATCCTTAACCAACCATGATGTGTTCCCCCTTATCAACTCCAGTTAGAAGCCTAACAGCTGCATTCTGGACCAACTGGGGATGTTTCATGGAGAAAACATTTAGATGTTTCCTCCCTGAATCGGAAGATGAAATCATTAAAGTGGTGTTTTGTGTTTTGTGTTTGGAGAACCATTTGTAATGTTAAATGTGTTGAGCTACTTTAATCTTTTTTGTTGGAGCTGTTTGTTGCAAACAGCTGCTAGTTTGTAAATTTTTCTAGTAAATTTAATTTGTGGGGGGGGAGAGTGAATAATTTTAGGTGCACATCTTATCTGTATTTTGCATGTGTAGGAGAAAAAAGCTTTGCTAACCTCAATGTAGAGAGCATTTTTGTAGTACAGACAAGATTAGCTTAGCTATCTGTCTCAGTTGAGAGAAATTTTGCTGGATATCAGCACTGAGTTGCTTCTTAATTGTGAAGTCAATATTCCCAATCACTTTGTAACAGGACTTTTGTGTAAGGCATGTTAGGATGAAGGTTAATTGTGGAACCATCAGATATGCTGCTTGGCTAAATAGAAAAAACTTCTGTTTTCTTTTCATTTAAGCTCATAAGGTTCACTGACATCTTGGCTCTGATGCTGTTAAAGCATTCCAGTTGTGCTTGGATGGAGTTAACTGCAATATTCCTTTAAAGAGATATAAGACTGACAATCATCTGCATAGCAGTAAAAGATATCCCATGTTTGCTCAGAGCGGAGCCCAGAGAGAATACATAGAGAAAAGAATGTGTGGCCTAGTGTTGAACCTACAGAAGAGGATATAAAATCTGGTTTGTCACAAATGTCTGTCTACTAAATAAGAATGAAGGTAGTCCAAGGCTGAACATGTGATGCCCACACAATGCTTCAAACCTGAACTATAAATACTGTGCTCAACAGTATCCAATGCAGCAGTCAAATCTAAAAGCATGTGGAACCAATATGTTATCAGAGTAATTTTGTCATTGAAGACCTTAAGCAGATCTTTTTTAGTGCTTAAACAAGTTTTAAATCAAGACTGGAACTCATCAAGCAAACCACTCCTGACTAAAAAGGTATTTATTGGGTGACAACAACTTTCTCTAACTTCATAGTGAGTAGTGGGAATTTGAAAGCTGAGGAAAAATCCAGGAAGAGTAGTCGGACGTAGGAGTTACTGCTCTCCAGATGGGTGAGGGCTGTGTGGACCACTAATGACATGGCGTCATCAGTGGAGCGGTTATTCCTGTATCTTGTAGCCGTATTGATGGGGGTCTACAGTGACATCGATGGAGTCCTTGATATGAATCATGACCAGCTTCTCAAAGCACTTCATGACTACCGGGGTTAGGGTTACAGGTCATTAGTCGTTTAGGCATGTCACTGTGGAGCACTTGGGGACGGGGACAGTAGTAGCAGTCTTTAAGCAGGTGGGGACAGATGCCAGTGACAGTGAGGTGTTGAAGATGTTCGCCAACACCTCAGACAGCTGATGGGCGCAGTCCCTCAGTACCGGCCCTGGTATGTTGCCAGGGCCTGCAGCCTTGCAGAGGTTGATTCGCTGGAGGGCCTTCCTCACGTCTGCTGTGGTCACACTGAGGGGCATGTCTCCAGGTACTGGAGTAACTGGTGGCGAAGGGGAAGGTGGTGGTGGTGGTGGTGGTGGGGGTGGGAGGGGGTGGGGGTGGGGTGGGGGGGTCATCAAGGTGGGCATAGAACCTGTTGAGTGCATCTCTGGCAAAGAGGAGTCCCTTGGGCATTGTGCATCCCTGGTGTTGTAGTCTGTGATGCACTTGATGCCCCTCGACATGCGCCGGGGGTCGTTTATGGTAAAGTGAACCTGAATTTTCTGGGCGTATGTGGCTTTGGTCTTCACAATGCCTGCAGTCAGTCCCTTCCTTGCCTCTCTGAGTGCTGATGCCTCCCCTGTCCTGAACGCAGCATCCCTAGCTTTCAGCAGAGCCTTCACCTCAGCATTCAGCCAGGGTTTCTGGTTTGGATAGCAGGTTACTGTCCTGGTGGTGGT